CAAGCTTTTAATTGTGGATGGATTTACACTGATGCCATCGTGTTGTAACAGAGGAACTCTATGTTGTCAAACCCGTATTTCCCCCAGAATGCAAGGCTAGGAGAGCAGCAATGGCAGTGCACTTGTTGGGGGGAAACTAGCTGGCATTTGGGAGGGCTTAACTCTGCCTCTGCTTATTGTGAAAATGATCACCATCATCATATTTACTTTATGTATTTATTAAAAATATTTTAACACCCCCCCTTTCGCCTTAAAAAGGACCCAAGGCAACTTACATAATTAAAAGACAATATTTAAACGCAAATACAATATAGTAAGAATATAAATACGAAAAAAAGGATCAACCAAATATCACATTAAAAAACAGTAATATTTATGTCTGAAATCCAGGTGTCTTTGACTTGGCACTCCAGTCAAAGGAGATCACATAGGGCTAAATTGCTACTGGATTCATCCCACCTTTTGGAACCTTGCTCCCAGTTCACCAGCAGACAAAAACAACAAAGCATTCACAACTCGAGCAGCTGCATTATATATGCAACTCTGTTGTATGAACACAACTGCCGTTGAAGAGTATGTGGACTGTGTTTACTAAGCCAGCCTTTGGTTATTAGAGGAGAGAAACAGGACATCCTGGACTCCCTCCTAAAAGTAGATAGCCAGGGAAGGATGTTTAGATATCAGGAAAGCTGTGGTACTCAGAAGCTTTCACTAGTTTCTTGCCCCTCCACAGCATAGTACAACTTATGCTTGTGCTAGCAACGCTAGACCTCTGCTGAAAGGAAGGAATGATTCCTTCCGTCACCAAAGGTTTCAGGATCGAGAGCATCCTTTGCAAAGCCTCTTGGGGGCCCGCCCTACCATTCATTATGTAATGTGAGGCCACCATCTCAGCAGGTTTTGGGCACCACAAGAGGGGAATACATTGCCAGTTGTTGACTCCCCCCCCCCAACGTGGAACGTTTACTTCCAGAGATGGAGAGAAATCCTAGTGAGATTTTGTGCCAGAATAGATTGACTTAATTTGGGTGCTATGCACTTATGTTTAGGTGGATATGAAACGCCATTTTCTAACTCTTCCTCAGATGACAAAATATTGTCTATATAGTGGACACTTTTCTACTTCAGGGTACGAAGTATTCTGAAGGAAGTGGATGATGTCATGTAATATGCCATTTTAATTTTTCTTATCGTGCCCCACTGCCCAGCGTAATATGCTGTGGTAGATATAAAATGGCTGCTTCCCAAACCCAGCCACATAGCGTTTGGATGGAGGAGGAGGTGGTGCTGGTGTCCCTACAGGCTAGACGCAGTGGGCCGTGCTAAATTTTATTGAATCAATTGATTCCATAGTCAACCTTTCTCTTTTCCTGTTGCCCTCAACTTTTTCCAATATTATTGTCTTTTCCAGCAAATATGGTTTTCTCATGATGTACTCAGAGTATGATAGCTTCTAGAGATATCTCAGACTTGATTTGATCTGGCACCCACTTACTTGTCTTTCTGGCAGTCCATGGTAAAATACAATATGAAAGAAATGTAGATCTAGATCAGGATTGTATAAGTTGCATAACAAACTTTACAAAGTGTTGTAAGAAGAACTTGTTTCCAGTCTGTGACCTCCTTCAAATGTGCCAGCCAGCCCCCCCCCCCCCAGCACCATTGAGAATGGCTGCACAACACACCTTTTCGAGTTCCTTCATGGCTGCTCTTACAAGTATTTTTTTCCGGATTTTTTGACTGCAGGGTCCATCTGGACTGATGGTTAAACCAAGTACAGAGAATTATTTACCAATTTGTTTTCTTCTTTGTTAAGGTTATATAATTCTTCTGAAGTTATGATTTTGTGTTCTTCTTAATGTGCAACTGTAACCTTCTATTTACACTTTCTTCTTTAAACTTTCTCATTACTGTAGTCATTCAAAAATCTCTGCTGTTCTCTGCTAGTATCATAGATTAGAGATGGGCTAACAGTATTTGTTTTTGCATCCCTTGAGATACGAATATGAATTGCAGCACAACAGGTGCCATAGAGGGCGATTCCCCCACAACCAGCCAGTCCACTCACTATTCACCATGTGGCAATTGCCTCCTTTGTTGATGTCACACCAACCAGACAGAGCTCAGACAGCTCTTTCCTGCCTATGTGTGCAGCCAACCTCTTCTGTGTGGAGGTAGGATGGGGAGTCTCCTTGCTCAATTGATGAGCGGTTGACTGCACGGGGAGGCAGGGAAGAGCCAACCAGGCTCCTTCCGTGGTTGGTGCAGTGAAAATTATGGAGCCAAGCGCTGTGTGGTGAACGGTGACTGGACCAGCCAGTTCTAGGGAGAGGAAAGGGACCTCCTTGGCACTTGCAGTGTCACAATTCATATTCGTATCCCCAGGGATACGAATACAAGTACTCAATCTCCATTATAGCTCCATCTGTGTACAGTATATTAAATTACTGATTTTTCTTACACCATTTGTCACTTTTCCTCCATCTTGGGTTGGTATATAGCCAGATTTCCAGATACAAGATGGGTGATGCCTTTATTCGACCACTAAAAAAGTAAATAAGCAGCAAGCTTTTGTGGATGAAATCCATTTCCTCCAGATAAGAACATCTCCAATTTTTCTGCATTATCCATGGAGGTGTGCTTAGCCTCAGGAAGTGAATCCAATAAAAGGTATCACCCACTCTTGTATTTGTATAATCTTGGGGACCATATAGTCTACTCCTTATTTTTTCCTGTTTTCCAGGTTTTGCTTGGATTATAGGCATGCTAACTGGGTGTTTGTTTAGACTATCCTTCAGCTGGATCCTGAGCTTTCATTTTTTGAAAAAGACTTTAGCATTAGTAGAGCCAGACAAAGAAGGCAAAACATCTCGTCACTGTATTGCCCTGTTGTCTTCTACCAAAGGAACATTTCTGTGTGCTTAGCTACTGACTGTTTTTTGTAAGTTCCCAAGTAAATCAACTCAACTATCCCACAAACTGCACCAGAGCACAGACAGAGCTCTGACTCCTGTCCTCTGAAGATGCTGGCCACAGAGACTGGCGAAATGCTAGGAACAAAAGCCTCAAAAACACAGCCAGGAAGCCCGAAAAACGCAGAACAACGCTTCCAAGTAAATGTTGCAATTTGGGGAAAGACTCTTTTTAGCTTGTTTGCAAACAAATGTGGTAATTTTGCAGGATTGTCTGCAAACTTAGAAACAGTGAAATGCTAGGAATAAACGGAAGGGTGCTTCTGCTTTGCTCAAATATACTTGTGGAAAGCACGGTCAAAACCGGCAGCACCTTAATATATTTTAGTACTGTACTGTATTGTATAAATGGCCTAATGGGCCTAATGTGGGCATACAAATATCCAGGAATGATGGGAAAGAATTGGGGATAAAGCTAGCAGATGCATGTTCTTGAGCCATGTTACCATTTGAAGTAGCACATATACAAACACCTTCCTGCTCAGTCAGTAAGCCTAAATGCTAGGTAGGAAGGGGTGATGGGTGTCTAGGCATTAAAGCCTCCTCGGTAAGCCTAAATGCTAGGTAGGAAGGGGTGTAGATGGCTGTCTAGGCATTAAAGCCTCCTCACATATAAAATCAAATATTCTTCTCCAGTTTCGCTCATACTGAGATTTGTCTTCTTGCCTGGAATCCAGAGGCCAGCAATTGCCTGTGAGCCTACCAACCATAACCATCCAAGAACATGTTCTGTAAGCAAGGTGTGTGAAAGTAGCTATAAACAGAGAAGAGGAAAACCACAAGCTACTTGTACATTCATAACCAGTGACTCATTTTTAACCGGAAACATTTTCAGCCAAGCAAGGCCATAAGAAAATGCCAAACTGGCTCAATCTAGGACAAGTCCTATCACTGAGCAGATTGAAGTGACTGCCCCAGAGAGCAGCTGCTGCAGTCTGCGATTGGAAAATTTTGGAAGGCTAAACTCTAGGCGCCATATGGCCTGCCCAGCACTTTTTCAGCAAGTCTGCCGACTCTCAGGTGTGATGGAAAGCACTAACCCTTTATCACTGTTGAAATAAGATTCAACTGCCCATCTATATAACGAAAAATAAAAAAGGCTTGTGGCACTCTACAGACCAATCGATTTGCTTCAGTGTGAGCTTTCATGGATTACAATCGCACATGGTACATAATACTGTAGTTAAGACACTGGTTTATACAGAACACATAGCAGCAGGGTGGGCATCACGTGAGATGGGAAGAAGAGGGTGACAACCACATTGATAACAAGCCTTTAAGATATCAGTGGCACCAGTAATAATCATCTCTACTCCTTGGGGCCATTTCACTGTGCATTCATGTGTGTGCAGAGGGTGGGCGGGTGTTTGCGGTTCTGCCAAGCCTTTTTTTCTACTAAGGCTTCACACGTGGCAGAAGCAACGTTCAATAACCCATCGCTGGTATATTTGCTAAGAAAAACGTGTGCCTTTTGTGGGAAAGCTGGGGGCTGAAAAGAAGGCCACGAGAGTCCGGATTTGGCTTCCATTTGCCTCCATCCGGCTCATGTCTCTCTTAAAAGGGGCATAGAAAACAGAATGTGGTACAGGCTGCTCGCCATACAAGTAAAAAAAGCTGCCCTTGCAAATCCGTTCTCGTGGAGCCTCGCAGCCCTCTGGGTTTTGTAGTCGCCACACGACTTACACTACTCTACCCACATCTTTCTCGCTTTGTGCTCAAAAACCCACACGGGGGCTCACTCTTGGTACTGAAATTAGGTTTCTTGAGGCAAGGCAGCGCCCCTCTACTCGGCGCCCCAACCCCTGGGACAGATACACACTCTTTCTCTAACGTAAGAATTCGCCCTAAGCAAACACGACGGTCCCCGCCACACCGGAGAACGGCTCCACCCATCTCTCTTTCCCGCGCCTTAATGAGAGAGGCGAGGCCGGAGAGCCAAGGGTTAGCCTAGTAACTATGGAGACCGACTTCCGCTCTGGTTGCCACTCTGGCTCTCCCACCTCGCTGGTTCCATCGGGTCTTCCAGAAACGCCCCCATTTGCCCTGGCTCCAGCGCCGCGGACAGGGTGCAGCCCCCTTTGCCGCCGCCGCCACTCTCGCTGCTGCTCCGGCTGGGGTGAGTTCGGGCCCTGCTCTTTTGCAGCCGGGGAGGGCAACGTGCTTGCTCCTCGGAAGCAAAAGCATCTGCTCCACCTCACTTAACTGTAGGAAGATGGAGGCGGGCTGGGGAGGGGGGGGGGTTCTTTGACTTCCAGGGACAGTCTGGCTCGGGGCTTTGTTAAAAGGAGCCGGTTTGGGGGAGGAGGGTTACCAGCAGCGCATTGGGATTAATGAGGGGGGCTTTGGCATGGACGCTTTTGACAATCTTATTGTGAATTATTGGAAGTATTGTTCTTTACGGGCTCGTGAATAGGGATAGAAAAAAAGGGATCCCCCTCCTCCTTTCCCATCTGGAGTAACTGTAAGGAAAGCAGCTCTAATATTGGACGCGAACAATGGGCTTTGTTAGTCGAAGTTAGTATTATTTGGGGTCGGGGGTGCGAATCGGTGCATGCATAGCACAAAGTGACCCCTAAAAGGAGATAGGCGCGTTAACCGCATCAAATAACGATTGTATGGGGCGTAGTTTGAAGTGTAACTAAAGTTCCAGGGAGTCCTGGTTTATGAGCTCTGGGTCTTTTCCCTGGAGAAAGTACTGGGCCCCTGTTTCTTAGCTCTTAACCCTTGCATTTCAAACGCTGCCGAGGTTAACGCTTGTTTGCATCTAACAAGCTGGGCTGTGGTTCATCGAAGCATATGTTGCAATATCACCTTCCCCACCAGAGCAACTGAACTACAAAGTCCATCATCCCAGTCACCACATTTCATGCTGGGTGATGGGCAACGGCAATCTTGACACTTCTGGATGGTGCCGTGTCATTATGGAAGGCTACTTTAGTAAATCTTAGTTTCTGGGATTCCAGAGAACTGCTGTTTTTCCAGTGATACACTAGTTTGGCCAGTTCTTTGTGAGTTGTTTTGGTTTGCTTTAGTTTGGGAGTTAGGGTAACCGAAGTTGCATTCCTGGAACAGATGGGAAGTTATTTAAGTTACTGGAGTGTTACGGCAAAGCAAGGTACAAATGAGTCAAAAAACACCAGATGACAGGGAAATTATTGCCCTAATCTCTCTGCTCACATTCACACACATGGCTTTAAATCCATGTTTCATTTATGACTGTTGAGAGGATGGGGAAAACATACCCACTTCCTACCCCTCTGATTGTGACACACCATGCCTTTTCAGACAATGTACGTACAGTAGTGGTATGTATTCAATGTCCAGAGCTGAGAGACTGTGGGATTGTGGCAGAGGGACATGGCCAACTCTTTTCATCAAGCTTGCTCAACAGTTGTGAGCACAGAGGTTTCATGCATAGACTGTATGCACACAGAGCCTAATGTGTGTGCTGTTTGTGCATGCTTACAGTCTATGCAGACAATGAAGGGAACTTGGTATGACCAGTTGCATCCTGCTTGGGAAACTCTGGGAGTTGTAAACCCCCCTCCCCTTTTCCCCCATGCTGTTTTGTGTAGGCTTGTGCCTCTGATTGTGACCCTTATCTTCTCTTCTCCTCTTTCCACCCCTTTGTGCACACATTAAGTACTATCAAGTCACTTCTGATGTATGGGGATCCTCTGAATTCATGCCCTCTGAAACGTCCTGTCATTTACAACCTTGCTTAGGGGTTGCAAATGAAAGGCCATCACTTCCTTTACTGTGTCAGTCCGTCTCATGTTCAGTCTCCCTCTTTTCCAGCAGCTTTCATCTTTTCCTAGCATTATTATCTTTTTCAGTGGATCTTTCCTCCTCACAGGAAGCCCAAAGTATAATAAGCCTCTGTGTGGTGTAGTGAATAAAATGAGAGACTAGAACTCAGGAGACCTGCATTCACAACCCTGTTTAGCCACGGAAACTCACTGAGGAGGTTGTGGCAATAATAAACCACTCCTTGAATGTCTGCATAGGTCAGAAACCCTACTAGATGACTAGATAGCCTCAGTCTAGTGATTTCTTGCTTTTAAGGACAGAGAGTTTATGGCGGGAGATGAGGCCCAAGAGCCTCTGGAAGTCCCCATTTTGTCCAACTCAGTTTGAAAACAGAGGCCTGCTAATGTCTTTTACTGTAATCCATGAGAGGCAGCCTTTACACATTCTGGAACTTAGGCCTAGATCCTTGAAACTGGATTTTGAGAAATGCAGGCCCAAAGGCCAACATTAACCAGAAAGGAAGACTGTCTCTTTAATGTGAGAGGAAGGAGCCTTCAATTCATTTCCTGCTAACAAGCCAACCAGGCTTCCTCCTTTGGTCATTTTCTCTGCTGAGGTGAATTAGAAAAAGAATTTGAAAGAATAAAAGAATCCTGGGGTCATCTTAAGGCTAGAGACAGGAGCATAATGGGGTAGACTGTATTACTGAGGTGTGACAAAAGACTTCAAAGGAGTAACTGGATGTATTTAGTAACCAGGGGAAGAGGTTGAGAGCTTGGGAAAGTCCTCAAGTAGCCGTCCTTGCTGGGTTGTTCTGGGAGATGTACCTCCTTAGAAGTAACTTTTCCAAAACTATGTCTAAAGGACTGGGACAGAGGAAGTCCCTATTGGGAATCAGCTGGCGGCCTTCTTTCTTCTTACTTATCTTTTCCTCTTCCTCCGTCTCTTGGAAGCATCTGGAGCCTGTCGGAGCAGACTGCCAGGATGGCCATGGGGATGCAAGAACAGTACGAGCCGGTGGCGGAAATCGGCATTGGAGCCTACGGCACCGTCTTCAAGGCCCGCGACTTGCAGAGTGGCAAATTCGTGGCCCTTAAGAACGTGCGGGTGCAGAACAGCGAGAACGGGTTGCCACACTCGACAGTCCGTGAGGTGGCCCTGCTGAAACGCCTAGAGCACTTCGACCACCCGAATGTTGTGCGGTGAGGATGCAAACAAGGATNCAGCAGGGCAGGTTCTGTGGAGGAAGTGGAGGTGGCAGGCTCTCTGAAACCATGACGTGTGAACTGGGAAACCTGCCTCTTAATCCCAAATGTATAGAGATTGGTTGTATCCAGAGCTTGGACTGTGGACTGCCCCATAGCCTGTAACTGTCTTTTTTCCAAGCCCCAAATTTTGTCTGTATGCATGTGCCTTCTGGGGATCTTGGTGCAGGTTCTGTGGAGGAAGTGGAGGTGGCAGGCTCTCTGAAACCATGACGTGTGAACTGGGAAACCTGCCTCTTAATCCCAAATGTATAGAGATTGGTTGTATCCAGAGCTTGGACTGTGGACTGCCCCATAGCCTGTAACTGTCTTTTTTCCAAGCCCCAAATTTTGTCTGTATGCATGTGCCTTCTGGGGATCTTGGTGGAATCTTGTAACTGTGAAAACTGTAATTCTGTACCTTTTAAAATCTTAGAGATTGTTTTGGACAAAGCATTCATTGCCTAGTCTCTGTTAGATGCAGAAAGGGAAATCCTCTCAGGATTGTGGCAGGGTGTGAAGAAAAAAAAATAGATACTAGAGTTAACTGGCAATAGTAATAACCCTCTGCTGTCTGTTTCAGGATTTTCTACTTAGGGAGTACACAGAAGTGGTTGACCATTCCCTTCTGGGGGCATCCTGGGACTGTGCAGCTTGCCCAAGGTCACACAGGCTGGCTCTTTTACCAAGAAGCACTGTGGGGAATTAAAAGCCCAGCCTCCGGCTCCTCAGTCAGATACTTAAACCACTGATCTGTCTAGCTAACTGCCAAGGAAATGCAAACTGTACAATCTGATATAATCCAATTAGAGTTTAAAGATGTGCAAAATAAGGCCAGTGACCCTGATAATAGCAGTGATCAGCGATTGACATGCAAATCTTGGCACTACAGAGGTAATTAACACCTGTATTCAGACAGAAACTCGTTCTCCTCCTTTAGATGACTGAGTGCAGTCTAGATAAGCTACTCTTCAGCAGTTCACTGCAGAGTTTCCTGTTTGAAATTCCTTTGTTTAAAGATGATGGCCGCTTTAAGGGCTGTAACTGACTGCTTTACTCTCAGTAGACTAGGTGGCTGCTCTCTGTGGAAATGGGATCCTATGCAATGTTTTAGAATTGAGGCCTGGAGTTATAAAAAGGGGCCAAGGATGAGACTTAGCTCTGATTAAGGCCCCAGTAAAGCTGTGATGCGATAGGGAAGGGCTTTCTTTCCATGCCATGTCCTTGCCTAGTATGAACCTATTTATAATATTTGAGAACTATTTGGATATTGCTAGGAAGAGTGTAATATTGCAGGGACGGCCTTCTCCTCTTGCCCTGTCCTCCGCCTGTGGTAGATTGCAACCCCATCATCCACAACCAGCCCGCCCGATGGTGGGGGCTTCCAGTCCAATGTATTTGTAGGACATCCTTTTGGGAAAAGTTTGGAGTCAGGTGCAAGGAACGTCTTAAGGGATGAGGTTTCTTGGCTTGGCCACTATAGGAGCAGCTTATAGGGAAGAGGCATGGGAGAGATGGATACTGTGCACGTGAAGAGAGAGGGTCTTTTCCTTGCATCTTAGTGGATATAGGACAGCAGTTCATACCTGCCAAGATAACCTTTTTATATTTGCTGCTTCGAAATTTTTAATAGATTCCTTTGCTGCTCTCCCTTGTGCTCTATCTACATGTATTTTTTAAAAGTATTGCACTGAAATTGTTTTGTATATTGCTTGGAACTGTTGCTTGCTTTCCTAGCTGCCATTGTATCTTAGGTTTTAGCATTGTTGAAACTAAAAATACAAACTGTTGACTAGGGGGGTTGGGAGCACGGCCCAGATAGATCCTCCTGAGCTCAGTTCAAAGACCATAACTCTCCTTGGGATGGAACAGAGTGTTTCTGTTCTTGAGCCAGTTGGAACTGTGCCCTGTGAAATGTCAGGCTTGGATGATGTACACCAGAAATGTATATATGCACACACATACAATCTTATATTAGAGACACGATTATAATATGTGTAAAAATATATATGCAAACCATATTTGGATTTGTTTTTTCCTGTTTCTACCACTAACTCAATGGCAGCTTGATAGGCCTCTTTTTCCATCAGGCTGTGGAAATTGTAGGCCAGGAAGGGGAACTGTGTGACCCAGTTGTTTGATCATAGCTCATTCAAATCAGTTCAAGCCAGCATAAGCAGTGGTGAAGGACTTCAGGACTGTGCAGCTTATAGCATCTAGAGGGCAGCATCTAGAGGGCCACACGTTCACCCTGCTCAGCTTAGGCCAAGGTGCTGCTCATTTAGTGAAGGGGAGAAAGAATTTCCTCATCGAAAGGGGTCACATCACAAAACAGCAACAGATTACAGCAAAAGCAAGTTATGTGAACCTTTAAGGTGAACAAAGTTGTTTAAGACCCATCTTTCATTGGTTTGCAATCCACGTCTTCAGATAAATTACTTCTATTGCATGCCGTCGAGTCAGAACTGGCCTATAGCAATCCTAGTAGGGTTTCCAAGGTAAGTAAAGTATTTAAGGAGCGGTTTTACCAGTTCCACCACCCAGTGACTTTCCACAACTCAGGAGGGAGTTGAACCCAGGTCTTCTGAGTTGCAGTCCGTTACTCTATCCACTACACCACATTGGTTACCCCAAAGTACTTCTACTTCTTTAATGTCTGATGGAGCGTGTTGTAATCCATGAAAGATTTCTGAAAGAAACAGATTAGAATACTGCTGTTTTTCAGTTGTTGTTGTTGAAACACACTAAGATGGCTACCTCCCAGACTGTGCTTGGTGATCGCAGTTTTGCATGATGGCCGTGGGGAGAGTAGGGAAAAGGGACTCGGGGGGGAGGGAAGGAGTCAGTTCTTGCCATTTATTTGTAGATCGTCTTGCCGTATACAAAATGAGATTTGTTCAGTAGGAAGGGCAGGATTTAATCCTGGAAGAAAGGTTACATGTATAATTCAGGCTGCAATCCTGACACGCACTGATAAGTGAGTAAGCACCAATGAATTGAGTAGGTGTTGCAGTAGAAGTGTCTGGGGTGAATTCACTGAGCCAACTAGCAGTTGAGTATGTACGTACACAAAAGCAAAAACAAGGTCTTGTGATACTTTTAAGGTTAAGAGATTTTGTGACTGCAAGCTTTCATAGTTTGCAATCTGTTTCTTCAGATCCGTAGGGTATAATATATTCAGACATCACATTTAGGTATGCAGTAATTAATAAGAAAGAGATTATGATGATGAAAGCAACATGCTGTCAAGTCAATTGTGACTTCCAGCAATACTTGACTAAGGTTTTTCTAGGTATACTCAGGAGTGGGTTATCATTCTGTCTTTCTAGAGGATATTCTGGGACCACTGCAGTTTGCCCAAGGCCACACAGGTTCATTCTCGCAGGAAGCACAATGGGAGAGTTTTGCTCCCAACCCTTGTGTTTCCACTCAATGAGCTATTCAGCCTGGGTACACAGTAGTCAACAGTTACTCAGAGTGAGATCAGTGGGAATTTTGATATAGAAAATAACAATTGTGTTATTAATAGTGGTAATGAACTTTCAAAGCGCTTATTACATAAAAGATCCATGATAGATAAAGTACTACAGTGGTGCCTCGCTTAACGACGATAATCTGTTCCAGGATTAACGATAGTCGTTAAGCGGATTCGTTGTAATGCGGGGCAATCGTAAAGTGAGGCACCACTGTATTAATAAATAGTACATGGTAAAAGGACTAGACAAAGTACAGATTGAGTGTGCATTGGGGGGAAAGTAGCCAATACCTACGCAAGCTTTTGTTGGCCTTCCACTCTTCCACCAGCTCAGCAGTTTCCCTTGGGTGCAGCCCATAGCTTTATCTTAGGTAAAGCAGATTGCAGAACTGGTTGGAGCCCCCTCATAGGCATTGAAGGCAAGGCAAAATGGTGTGAGTTCAGCCCACGAACTCTGCTCTCGTGCAGAGCCCTGAAACTAGAGATCTGGTAAGATTCAGAATCACATGCCTCTACAGTGGGCCTCTTGAACAGGCATAAGAAGGACAACCAAGAAAGCCAGTGCCTCCGGGAAGGCTAAAGAATGGAGGGTTGGCCGGAGTGTCCTTTTCCTGTCACTGAGAGGGCAATAGAGGCCAAGAAAGAGAGGGCACCTTTCAGTTCTGGACTGAGTCAGGACCAGCCCAAATTGGAAGGATGGGAGAAGGCCTTCCCCTCCTGACAGCATTCACAGCTTCTTCAAGGAGGAAGGGAGCTCTGTGCTCTCATACGCTCCAGCCCAAGTGTTTAGATTCTTGGCCTTGAAAACATTGAGTAGTATTCTGTGTGACAGTGATGGGGAATGTTCGGCTGTCCGTATGTTGCTGAATGGCATTTACTGTCTGTTTCAGCTAGCATTGTCAATGGTGAGGAATGATAGGAGTTGCAGCCCTACAGTGCTTTGTCTCTGTGTCTCTGCTTTTTCTTCCTTTCCATTGTTTTTCAGTCCTTTGCCAACCCTCCCATCGCAAGAACAAAAGGGCCACAATTTTATTACTCACATACACCAGCGTAAGTCAGATGGTGTAAATAGCAGTGGGAAATTGCTGCTAGTTAGATGTCTGTGCTTATATCCATCAGCTGATACCTCTGGAATGCCACAAGGAATACAAGCTTTGACTCCTTAACTAGCAGCAATTGAATGCTGCAATGTATTTTGGTGTGTAAGTAAGGTTATTTGGATGAGTGTTTTTATCTGGCTGTTATTAGTCTGCATTCTTGAGCCTCCAACCCAAAGGCAGCAGGGAACTGGTTGCTGGTTGGGTTGACCCTTTACCATTCATACTACAGTACTGCACATTTTGAGAATTGGCCAAGCAGCAAAGGATCAGCTATTCCAGAGTAGCATTTAGATCCTGGAGAAGTGCCAGGGCCTGAAAACTAGGGATTGATTCATACAGGTTTTTCCACTTAGCCCTTTGTGTTATCTCTTGACCAGAGAAGGGTTGGTTTGGTATGCATACTTAACAAGGTCTGATCGCCTTAAGACGTGAAACTTTCCTTGGAAACTGAGTGAATGATGGGATATTGCAGGGAAGGGTGGATAGGACTGCATGTTATGGGAGAGGGGAGAGTAGAGTGCCTTTAACTAAATTAACTCCACTTAGCCTGTTATTGCTGACACTGATTAGCAGCTGATTTCCAGAGCTTCAAGTTGGATTCTTTTTTAGCCATATCTGGAGGGGCCAAGGATTCAACTTCTGACTTGCTGCATGTAAAGCATGGGCTTTAGTACTGAGCTGCCCTTGAGAGAGAGATGAGGTTGGCATGGAATTCCAGGCCAGTGAAACAAGGACCTTAGGGCTGGAGTGGAGGAATGCTGGCAGTACTAGTGGGAAAAGGAAAAGCCACATGTCTAGGATAGCACAGATCTAGGGGCTTTGATTAAGTGATTGCTTATGAGTTGTGTCAGAATGGCAGACACAGGGAGTGTCATTGGTTACAGCCATTTATGCTTTTCTATATGTGATATTTGGACTTTACAGCCTGTAATGCTAGGATGTTGAACTCTTGCCCCTTTTCCCTCTATTAGTGATTCTCCCATAGAATCATAGAATAATTAAGTTGGAAGGGGCCTATAAGTCATTTGAGTCCAACTCCCTTGCTCAAGGCAGGAATCCACATCAAAGTATGTCTGACAGATGGTTGTCTAATTTTCTCTTGACTGTCCCCAGCAGTGGAGCGCTCACTACTTTCCAAGGTAATTGGTTCCATTGTTGTGCTGCTCTAACAGTTATGTTTTTCCTGATATTTAATCTAAATCTGACTTCCTGTAGCTTGAGCCCATTGTTTCATGTTCTGCACTCTCGGATGATTGATAACAGATCCTGTCCCTCCTCTGTATGTCAACCTCTGAAGTATTTGAAGAGTGCTATCATCTCTCCACCCCACCCCACTCAAGTCTTCTTTTCTCAAGGCTAAACATTTCCAGGGCTTTCAGTCTTTCCTCATAAGGCTTGGTTTCTAGTCCCTGATCATTTTTGTTGCTCTCCTTTTAACTTTTTCCAGTTTATCTGAATCTTTCTTAAAGTGTAGTGTCCAGAACTGGACACAGTACTCTTGGTGAGGCCTAACCAGTGCTGGATAGAAGGGGACTAGTACTTCACAGGATTGGAAGACTCCTTCTGTTAATGCACCCTAAAATAACATTTGACTTTTTTGCAGCCACATTGCACTACAACAGTTTCAAAATCCTTTTCACTTGTACTATTACTGAGCCAAATATCCCCCATCTTATCACCATGTATTTATCCCTCTGCCCCCATAACCCCTCAGCAATGGTTCTCATGGCTAGGGTTGATGGGAGTTGCAGCTAAGAACATACAGAGACCAATGTATTCTTCAGCACTGTCATCTGACATTTCTAGCTTTCTTTTAAACTCATGACATTAGGGTCAGTGCCTAGACTTGTCCTGTTCTTGCATCTTGCTTGAAGCTCGTTTTTAAAATATGAATTCCTGACTTTACTAATTGCATTCCTTCTTCTGCTTCTGTTCTCATGCTTCCAGAGTATGTGTTCTACATCTTCCTCTTCTTTGCTTTATAGGTTAATGGATGTTTGCACAACGACACGGACTGAGCGTGAGACCAAAGTGACACTGGTCTTTGAGCACGTGGATCAGGATCTCAAAGCATATTTGGACAAAACACCACCTCCTGGCTTACCTGGGGAGGTAATCAAGGTAAATGTCCCAGGTAGCATCCTGGACTGATGTTCCAAGGGTTCCTTTATTTCTTGAGCAGGCAAGCCATGAGGGAGCTGTGTGGGGTGTTCAAGGCATAGATATTGATACTACGCATTGTTCTCCCAGGACATGATGCATCAGTTCTTGAGTGGCTTGGATTTCCTGCATTCAAACTGCATTGTTCACCGTGACCTCAAGCCAGAAAACATCCTGGTGACCAGCTCTGGTCAAGTCAAGCTGGCTGACTTTGGCCTGGCTCGGATATACAGCTGCCAGATGGCTCTGACACCATTGGTAAGCAAACTGAATCTGACCCTTAGCAAAAAGTAGAAGAGTCTTGATAGGTTGGCTCGGCTGGGAAATTCATTAGGGCAAGAATCAGCAACGTTTTTCGAAGTTTTTGGACTGCAGCTTTGATTTATTCACCATTGGTTATACTACCTAAGGCTTACAAAGAGTTTCATGCGAAAAACACGTGTAGGGCCACTGTTGACCACTTTTGCCCTAAGACACGGGTTCTCAAATCTTTGAGTCTCTTCAGCCAGTGGGGAGACATTGACCATATACCAGGACATGTGTGATACAGGTGCATTATACTGGAAGTTAGCTTTCGGTCTTGAATGCTTATCTGCAAATTGTAGAGCTGTGCTGATTCCGGACCAAGCTGGCTGAGCCTTCTTGGGGTCATGGGTAAAGAAAGGGGTAGCCGAATAGTGCTGTCGGGGTTGTGGGTGGGAGAAATGGAGCAGAAAGGCTTTTTCTCTAAGGTCTTGTTTGTAGTAGGCATATTGAGAAGTAAACCTCTCTGGAACCCAGAGATCCCGAGTTCTTCCCTGTCTCTGTATTGGAACCTTCACAAGCTTGAGGCTGCATGGAATGAAGTGGACGACGGAACGTCTCACACCAGAGGGTTGTTTTTCATGTCATTAATACTTTTCCTCCGCATCACAGGTTGTCACCCTCTGGTACCGTGCTCCAGAAGTGCTGCTGCAGTCAGCCTACGCTACCCCTGTGGACTTGTGGAGTGTTGGCTGCATCTTTGCCGAGATGTATCGAAGGAAGTGAGTGGAGCAAGGAGGTGGTGGTGGTGGGACCTCCCCAGATGTAAGGAGTGGGGTGGCTGTGGTTAGTAGTCCCGCCATTAGATATTTCAGAGCCAGGGTGGAGTGGAGAAGGAGACTGATTTGCTGTAACACAGAGATGGGGATCATACCATCTTCCAGATGTTACAAGACATGCGACTCCTGTCAAACCCCAATGGCATGCATTGGGGTTGATGGAAGTTGTCATCTCACAACATCTGGAAGGTTGCAGGTTCCTCACTTGTGCTGTAGCACTTATGCGTAACTCCTACAGCATCTGGAACTAGAAATGCTCTGCTCTGAGGATGGCCTGCAAGAGTTCATTACATGAATTCTTGCAAAAAATCAGGATGAAGTGTGTGTGTGTTTGTGTGAGGCTTCTGATGTGTGTGTGTTAGTTTAGCAGCTTCCTTTTTTTAAAGATCCCTTAAGGAGGGGTGAATTTGGCAGTACAGCCAGTGAGGGAGCAGTGAGGCATGTGGTACATGTAGTAAGGATGTGCCATTAGTATGTTTTGCTTGTGTGGGAGTCAAAATCCCAGAATTTCACATTCTGGGGGCTTTGCCTGCCAGACCCACACCTATTTTCTGCTCACCTGGAGAAAGGCCAGTCTGGAAGGCTTCATGGCCTATGAAAATAATCGTGCTCCTGCTTATCCTGTATTAATGCATGATTTTCAGTTTTTGCAGCCTGATGATGTGGATAGAACCCTTGGAGAAGTGAAGGCTACCACTTGTCTGATGAACCCTGCTCCTCCTGGCTTATAAAAGCTACCAGAGAGGGACTGGCTAAATGGGTGCAATCCCAGCATGCCTCAAGAAGGCGGGAGTAAGGCCATTATTGAAAAATCCCTCCTTGGATCCTGCAGTATTGGATAATTACCAGTCACTCCCTAATGTTCCATTCTTCCAGAAGTTGCTGGAGTGGGTCCTGGATGAGACGGATTTTGTAGATCCATCATTTTCAATCTGGCCTAATTATGGGATGGAGACTGCTTTGGTTGCCTTGGCGGATGACCTGTACCAGGAACTGGACAAGAGGAGTGTGTCTCTGTTGGCTCTGCTGGATTTCTCGGCAGCTTTTGATTCCATGGTATCCTTCTGGCCAGTCTTTCTAGAATGGGACTTGGAGGCAGTGCTCTACAGTGGTGCTGGTCCTTCCTAGAGGGAAGAACTCGGAGGGTGTGGTGTCCCTCAGGGTTCTGCTTTGTCATCCATGCTGTTCAACATCTACATGGAACTGCTGGGAGAGGTTGTCTGGAGTTTTGGGGTTCGGTGTCACCAATATGCGGATGACACCCAACTCTGTTTTTCCTTTCCATCTAAATCCGTTTCAGCTCTAGATCGGTGTCTGATGTCAGTAATAGATTGGATGAGGACGAATAAACTTAACCCAGACCAGACAGAGATGCTCCTGGTCAATTAAAAAGTATTTCAAGGAATAGGGATGAAGCCTGTGTAAACTCTCCCTGAAAACACAGGTGTGCAGCCTGGGGGTGCTCCTGAATTTGTCTCTGAGCCTGTATGCCCAAGTTTCAGCAGTGGCTGGGAGTGCCTTTGCACAGTTAAAACTAGCGTGCCACTGGAAAGTCTTTGAAAATTTTAGCAGGTTCAGATTGTAGCAGCCAGATTTGTAACTGAAGCTGGTTATAAGGCTGATATAGCCTCCCTGTTACAGCAGCTCCACTGGCTGCTGGATCTTGTCTGGGCCCAATTCAAAGTGATGGTTCTATAAAGACCTAAACAACTTAGGTTCAAGGGTATCTCAAGGGCCTTGTCTCCCTGTATGAGCCTGACCAGGTGTTAAGATCCTCAGGGAAGGCCTTCCTCTCAGTCCCACCACCCTCACAAGTGCATTTGGAGAGTATACAGGAGAAGGCCTTCTCCAGTATGCATACTTAACAAGGTCTGATCGCCTTAAGACGTGAAACTTTCCTTGGAAACTGAGTGAATGATGGGATATTGCAGGGAAGGGTGGATAGGACTGCATGTTATGGGAGAGGGGAGAGTAGAGTGCCTTTAACTAAATTAACTCCACTTAGCCTGTTATTGCTGACACTGATTAGCAGCTGATTTCCAGAGCTTCAAGTTGGATTCTTTTTTAGCCATATCTGGAGGGGCCAAGGATTCAACTTCTGACTTGCTGCATGTAAAGCATGGGCTTTAGTACTGAGCTGCCCTTGAGAGAGATGAGGTTGGCGTGGAATTCCAGGCCAGTGAAACAAGGACCTTAGGGCTGGAGTGGAGGAATGCTGGCAATACTAGTGGGAAAAGGAAAAGCCACATGTCTAGGATAGCACAGCTCTAGGGGCTTTGATTAAGTGATTGCTTATGAGTCGTGTCAGAATGGCAGACACAGGGAGTGTCATTGGTTACAGCCATTTATGCTTTTCTATATGTGATATTTGGACTTTACAGCCTGTAATGCTAGGATGTTGAACTCTTGCCCCTTTTCCCTCTATTAGTGATTCTCCCATAGAATCATAGAATAATTAAGTTGGAAGGGGCCTATAAGTCATTTGAGTCCAACTCCCTTGCTTAAGGCAGGAATCCACATCAAAGTATGTCTGACAGATGGTTGTCTAATTTTCTCTTGACTGTCCCCAGCAGTGGAGCGCTCACTACTTTCCAAGGTAATTGGTTCCATTGTTGTGCTGCTCTAACAGTTATGTTTTTCCTGATATTTAATCTAAATCTGACTTCCTGTAGCTTGAGCCCATTGTTTCATGTTCTGCACTCTCGGATGATTGATAACAGATCCTGTCCCTCCTCTGTATGTCAACCTCTGAAGTATTTGAAGAGTGCTATCATCTCTCCACCCCACCCCACTCAAGTCTTCTTTTCTCAAGGCTAAACATTGCCAGGGCTTTCAGTCTTTCCTCATAAGGCTTGGTTTCTAGTCCCTGATCATTTTTGTTGCTCTCCTTTTAACTTTTTCCAGTTTATCTGAATCTTTCTTAAAGTGTAGTGTCCAGAACTGGACACAGTACTCTTGGTGAGGCCTAACCAGTGCTGGATAGAAGGGGACTAGTACTTCACAGGATTGGAAGACTCCTTCTGTTAATGCACCCTAAAATAACATTTGACTTTTTTGCAGCCACATTGCACTACAACAGTTTCAAAATCCTTTTCACTTATACTATTACTGAGCCAAGTATCCCCCATCTTACCACCATGTATTTATCTCTCTGCCCCCATAACCCCTCAGCAATGGTTCTCATGGCTAGGGTTGATGGGAGTTGCAGCTAAGAACATACAGAGACCAACGTATTCTTCAGCACAGTCATCTGACATTTCTAGCTTTCTTTTAAACTCATGACATTAGGGTCAGTGCCTAGACTTGTCCTGTTCTTGCATCTTGCTTGAAGCTCGTTTTTAAAATATGAATTCCTGACTTTACTAATTGCATTCCTTCTTCTGCTTCTGTTCTCATGCTTCCAGAGTATGTGTTCTACATCTTCCTCTTCTTTGCTTTATAGGTTAATGGATGTTTGCACAACGACACGGACTGAGCGTGAGACCAAAGTGACACTGGTCTTTGAGCACGTGGATCAGGATCTCAAAGCATATTTGGACAAAACACCACCTCCTGGCTTACCTGGGGAGGTAATCAAGGTAAATGTCCCGGGTAGCATCCTGGACTGATGTTCCAAGGGTTCCTTTATTTCTTGAGCAGGCAAGCCATGAGGGAGCTGTGTGGGGTGTTCAAGGCATAGATATTGATGCTACGCATTGTTCTCCCAGGACATGATGCATCAGTTCTTGAGTGGCTTGGATTTCCTGCATTCAAACTGCATTGTTCACCGTGACCTCAAGCCAGAAAACATCCTGGTGACCAGCTCTGGTCAAGTCAAGCTGGCTGACTTTGGCCTGGCTCGGATATACAGCTGCCAGATGGCTCTGACACCATTGGTAAGCAAACTGAATCTGACCCTTAGCAAAAAGTAGAAGAGTCTTGATAGGTTGGCTCGGCTGGGAAATTCATTAGGGCAAGAATCAGCAACGTTTTTCAAAGTTTTTGGACTGCAGCTTTGATTTATTCACCATTGGTTCTACTACCTAAGGCTTACAAAGAGTTTCATGCGAAAAACACGTGTAGGGCCACTGTTGACCACTTTTGCCCTAAGACACGGGTTCTCAAATCTTTGAGTCTCTTCAGCCAGTGGGGAGACATTGACCATATACCAGGACATGTGTGATACAGGTGCATTATACTGGAAGTTAGCTTTCGGTCTTGAATGCTTATCTGCAAATTGTAGAGCTGTTCTGATTCCGGACCAAGCTGGCTGAGTCTTCTTGGGGTCATGGGTAAAGAAAGGGGTAGCCGAATAGTGCTGTCGGGGTTGTGGGTGGGAGAAATGGAGCAGAAAGGCTTTTTCTCTAAGGTCTTGTTTGTAGTAGGCATATTGAGAAGTAAACCTCTCTGGAACCCAGAGATCCCGAGTTCTTCCCTGTCTCTGTATTGGAACCTTCACAAGCTTGAGGCTGCATGGAATGAAGTGGACGACGGAACGTCTCACACCAGAGGGTTGTTTTTCATGTCTTTAATACTTTTCCTCTGCATCACAGGTTGTCACCCTCTGGTACCGTGCTCCAGAAGTGCTGCTGCAGTCAGCCTACGCTACCCCTGTGGACTTGTGGAGCGTTGGATGTATCTTTGCCGAGATGTATCGAAGGAAGTGAGTGGAGCAAGGAGGTGGTGGTGGTGGTGGGACCTCCCCAGATGTAAGGAGTGGGGTGGCTGTGGTTAGTAGTCCCGCCATTAGATGTTTCAGAGCCAGGGTGGAGTGGAGCAGGAAACTGATTTGCTGTAACACAGAGAATGGGATCATACCATCTTCCAGATGTTGCAAGACATGCGACTCCTGTCAGACCCCAATGGCATACACTGGGGTTGATGGAAGTTGCCATCTCACAACATCTGGAAGGTTGCAGGTTCCTCACTTGTGCTGTAGCACTTATGCGTAACTCCTACAGCATCTGGAACTAGAAATGCTCTGCTCTGAGGATGGCTTGCAAGAGTTCATTGCATGAATTCTTGCACAAAATAAGGATTAAGTGTGTGTGTGTTTGTGTGAGGCTTCTAATGTGTGTGTGTTAATTTAGCAGCTTCCTTTTATTTAAAGATCCCTTAAGGTGGGGTGAATTTGGCAGTACAGCCAGTGAGGGAGCAGTGAGGCATGTGGTACATGTAGTAAGGATGTGCCATTAGTATGTTTTGCTTGTGTGGGAGTCAAAATCCCAGAATTTCACATTCTGGGGGCTTTGCCTGCCAGACCCACACCTATTTTCTGCTCACCTGGAGAAAGGCCAGTCTGGAAGGCTTCATGGCCTATGAAAATAATCGTGCTCCTGCTTATCCTGTATTAATGCATGATTTTCAGTTTTTGCAGCCTGATGATGTGGATAGAACCCTTGGAGAAGTGAAGGCTACCACTTGTCTGATGAACCCTGCTCTTCCTGGCTTATAAAAGCTACCATAGAGGGACTGGCTAAATGGGTGCAATCCCAGCATGCCTCAACGAGGCAGGAGTAAGGCCATTATTGAAAAATGCCTACTTGGATCCTGCAGTATTGGATAATTACCAGTCACTCCCTAATGTTCCATTCTTCCAGAAGTTGCTGGAGTGGGTCCTGGATGAGACGGATTTTGTAGATCCATCATTTTCAATCTGTCCTAATTATGGGATGGAGACTGCTTTGATTGCCTTGGTGGTTGACCTGTACCAGGAACTGGACAATGGGAGTGTGTCTCTGTTGGTTCTGCTGGATTTCTTGGCAGCTTTTGATTCCATGGTATCCTTCTGGCCAGTCTTTCTGGAATGGGACTTGGAGGCAGTGCTCTACAGTGGTGCTGGTCCTTCCTAGAGGGAAGAACTCAGAGGGTGTGGTGTCCCTCAGGGTTCTGCTTTGTCATCCATGCTGTTCAACATCTACATGGAACTGCTGGGAGAGGTTGTCTGGAGTTTTGGGGTTCGGTGTCACCAATATGCGGATGACACCCAACTCTGTTTTTCCTTTCCATCTAAATCTGAGGAAGCTGTTTCAGCTCTAGATCGGTGTCTGATGTCAGTAATAGATTGGATGAGGACGAATAAACTTAACCCAGACCAGACAGAGATGCTCCTGGTCAATTAAAAAGTATTTCAAGGAATAGGGATGAAGCCTGTGCTAGACTCTCCTTGAAAACACAGGTGTGCAGCCTGGGGGTGCTCCTGAATTCGTCTCTGAGCCTGTATGCCCAAGTTTCAGCAGTGGCTGGGAGTGCCTTTGCACAGTTAAAACTAGCGTGCCACTGGAAAGTCTTTGAAAATTTTAGCAGGTTCAGATTGTAGCAGCCAGATTTGTAACTGAAGCTGGTTATAAGGCTCACATAGCCTCCCTGTTACAGCAGCTCCACTGGCTGCTGGATCTTGTCTGGGCCTAATTCAAAATGATGGTTCTATGAAGCCCTAAACAACTTGGGTTCAAGGGTATCTCAAGGACCTTGTCTCCCTGTATGAGCCTGACCATACAGGGAAAGCCTTTCTCTGGGAAAGCCTTTATCTCAGTCCCACCACCCTCACAAGTGCATTTGGAGAGTACAAGGAGAAGGCCTTCTCTGTGGCTGCTCCCAGACTCTGGGATGCCCTCCCACAGGAAGCCGGGTTGTCCCCATCTTTACTGTCCTTCTACAAGCAGGCAAAGACCTTTCTCTTCAGGCCAGCTTTCCCTCAGTGACTGGCTGCCTTAAGAGGGGGTTCTTAAAATGAGATTGTTTGTGCCTTGTTGCTATTAAATATATGTTTAGTACAATTTTTATTACTGTTTTTAATGTGATACTTGTTTAAACCTCTTTTTTTTACTATTCTAGTAGTTTTAGGTGTTTAGCTTTTAATATTGTTACTTTTTAAAGATGTATGCAGCCTTAGGTCTTTTTATGAAAAAGATGGGATATAAAGGTTTGAAATAAATAATTAGGTTGCACTCTGGCCTAGCTGCCTATGAGAAAGGGAGGCCGCCCCTCTGCTCCCCCTCTTACTGGGTGCCCCTCCTCCCAGTCCATTGGCTTCTTTGCTTTCCTTGGGGGTGGATAATGCCTGCCAAAGATTTCCAAATTGCTGCAGTTGAAGAGAGCCTAATCTTGTGAATGAGCCCAGAGCTCAGCAGTAGCACAGCTGGGACACAATAGATTAGGGCTGGGCCGACCCAAGCCCTCTGTCTTGTTTTATCATTCAGACTGAGGTGCTGATAGGCAGGGAGGAGCTGTGGACCTGCACCACAGAGGATGATGTGGCAGCAGTTGATGCTTGCTCTATTTTGGGGGGATATGGGCAGAGACTGATGGGATGGGGTTAGGGTTACACGTGGGCCAAGGCCAGTCTCTCGGCTCTCAACTTTCAGTTGCCCAAACGGTGCCCCTGGTTCTTGGTCAAGCTTGGGGTAAGAAGGGCAGCAAAGAGCATAGAGTTACTTTGTTTACAGTGGTCATCCAAAAAGGAATGATTCCAAGCTGTGGGAAAATTGCCACTCATCGTCATATCTTATCCTCTTGAATTCTTGGTGTTAAAAACGCAGGTGCTTCATTGATTAATAAATGTCTTCGCTTCGCTCTTCTTCTTTTTTGACACTGCCATCAGTGTGTGCATGAATTATTACGTCCAGTGCCTTTGCGCTCCACCTTTTGCGTACTTTTGTATACGTGTTGGGCAGCTACAGCTGATCAGCAGCTTCATGGCACTTGGCATGTTGACCAAGATGTTCTGTGGGTGAAGTCACTGCTGTTTTAAACCAGAGGTTGCATTTTTTTTTCAAAGGCACAGACCTTCTGTATGAGAAATTGTACAGAGTGGGAAAGGACTTTAAATTAAGCCTCATTCACTTTGTAGTGCCCCAGTTCTTTGTTGTGGATGGACTCCACCTTTCAAGGTTTGTGTGTGTGTGCGTGCGCATGCATTGCTTTCAAGGTGCTTGCAGAGTGACTGCTTTATAATTTGCTTCAGAATTTTCCCCGGGATTGATATCTGGCTGGCTGATCTTTAGTTCCCACCTCCCTCCTTTTTGAAGTCAGCGACAACAGTAGCCCTCCTCCCAGGGTGTGCATGAGGGTGAGTGGGGGGCAGGGGTTGCAGAACAACAAGGGAGAATGCACTTCCGAGGCTTCTGGCCTTGGTCACACCCACCTGACAGGCCAGAGCTTCTTCCCTCAGGTATTACAGACTGGTTTGTTCCAGAGGGAGGACACATTGCTTGTCCATTGTCTTGTGTCCCGTGAGAATAAAATCTATTCCGGGGCTTTACACATTTAGCCACCCAGGATTCCACTGAAGTGGTGCCGTGCCTTATGCTAATTCTCAGTTCTGCTGAAAGCTGCAACTTTCAATAAGGAAAACAGCCACAAACTATTTTATTTATATTTTTCTTATAAAAACTCTTCATTGTGAAAATTGGCTTGCCCTCCCTGGAGACTTCAAGAACTGATAATTTTTCAGCATGTTCTCTGTGTGTGATTCATAAACTTGTTGAGTTTGGATGCATAATCATTGATTAATAATAACGGCATGTCATCAAATCACTTTTGATTTATGGTGACCCTTTCTGGGAGTTTCCTAGGTATAGAGTACTCAGCCATGGTTTACCCTTCCCTTCTTCTGGGGGCACCCTAGGACTGGGCAGCTTGCCCAAAGCTACCTAGGCTGGCTCCCGTCCTGTGAAGCAGAGTGGGAAATCAAATTCATAACCTCTGGCTCCTCGGCCAGGTACCTAACCCACTGAGCTATCCAGACAGCTATTATTTATTAGCTATGTTTATATCCCACCTTTCCCTCGTTGAGCTCAAGATGGCATATCATGACTTCTCCTCACAACAGCCCTGTGATGTAAGTGAGGCTGAGAGAGGTTGACTGAGCCAATGTCAGCTAGGGATTTATGGCCTAGTAAGAGCTTAAACCCAGTCCAACACTCCAGCCACTGCCCCCCTTGGCATGTGTGGCAATTAGCTAGGCATTAATGCAGTGAATGATTGGCTAAAAGTGAGCATTCCAGATGGGCCAACGGAGTGAAGAAGGCGACTCTCCTCATCCTTATCCATGGACCCCTCCATCGCCTTGGGTTTCCCCTCTCTCTGGCCTCTGTGCTGTTGGCTACTCGCAACTGCCTAGGCCCCGGTTTCGCGAGGACGCTCTCCAGACATTTCAAAGCCTGTCTATACTGTGTGGTTGCAAACAATCCTTGTCACGGCTCTGAGGAGTATGTCCCAGTTGTTGACAGAGTGCGAGTGTCTGACCTCAGATGAGTTGGCAGCAGAGGCTCTAGGACAGGGAGAGCGGCTTCCTATCCCTCCCATCACAATAACTCCAGACTCCCTTTCTTTACTCCCCAGGCCTCTCTTCTGTGGCAACTCGGAAGCTGACCAACTGGGCAAGATCTTTGAGTGAGTCCCCACACTGGAGGGTCTCTGGGCTGGCAAGTCATCACAGAATAGCGCACTCTCATGTGCTCAGCTAGAAGTGTGCCTGGTTTCTGTGTCTCTTCACAAGAGCGCTTAAGTAAAGGCCTGTGGGGTGAGCCAGTGAGTCAGGAAAAGGGGAAGACAGACGTCATGGCCGTTGATGCTCAGTTCATTGAACTTCCTGACTGTATATGGAACTGGCTGGCTGGAACAAGGGTACAAACATTATGCCCCTCCAAGCCTAATTTTTATGATTCCCAAGCCTGGCTGACCCTGATCATCTTTTTTTCTCCTCCTGCTCTCTCCAAAAGCCTCCAGAAGTACCAATTTGCCCTTTAAATAATAATTTACCCTTTAAAAAGGACTTTCTGCATTTTGTTTTTTAGGTCCCAGTGCACCAAAGTTGCCCTCCCACCTCAGTCTCCTTGGTTACATAGAAGTAAATTTACTGGGGCTTACTCCCATTGGAGTGGGTGATAGGCTGAACAGAAATCCAAGACACAGATACTTTAAGCCTTTCCCGGTAGCTGTGGAAACTACAGGAAAATGGAAGCCTACTAATCCGTGGTGTTTCAAACCAAGCCAACCCAGTGCTTTCCAGATGTATTGTATTACAATTCCCATTGTCCCCAGTTGGTAGAGTCAATTGCCAAGCAGACCATATACTATGGCAGTTGTTGTTCAGCATGTCTTGAGAGTGCTTGATTGAGGGTAAGGCTGCCTATAAAATTGCAGGTATCATCAGAGGAGAAAATAAAAATAAGCCAGAGAATTTTTTTGCAATCCCCTACTGGCATATTGCTGCAAATTGGGAAGGCAATACAGATATTGACAAGATAAAGGCACTGGGGAGGTTGCTTAATATGGTGAAGTGGATGCACTAGATGACACTGGTTCAAATCCTGAGCTGACTGGCTACTGAAAGGCTTCAGGGCTTTTTTTTGTTCCTAAGGATTTTGTAACCATTAGTTAGGGAGGCAGGGAGTGATGCCGGCTTACAGCACAAGCTGCAAGAGTCAAAGAAAGTAGCCCTGCGATTCATTCGCTGTTGGGCCATGGTGGTGGTGGTGGTGGGGTGTCTTACAACAGCCAGCATAGGTGAAATGCTGCATTGCTCCCCACCCCATCCATGCCCCATTGTTTTTCCTCTTGCCTCGCAGTCTGATTGGTCTCCCGTCAGAGGAGGACTGGCCACTGGATGTCTCGCTGCCCCGTTGTGCCTTCGCTGCCCGCTCACCACAGCCCGTTGAGAAGTTTGTGCCAGAAATAGACCCTGCAGGGGCCCAGCTGCTTTTGGTATGTTGCTTGGAGGTGGGCGGACGATGACTTTGGGAACAGACCCAGGAAGGGGTTCCGAATGCGCATGTTATTAAGAGTCATCAAGACTCTGAGCTAGACACGGTGCTGTTCTCTCTCCACCCTGTACCTGGAATCTCATCCAGCCATAGGTGGCTAGATCTCCTTGGCCACTCTAGCTCAGCTCTCTCTCACTTATATGTGTGTAGCTTTTAAGGATGCCATTGATAATGCAAGTGCAGTCCTTTATCTTAATCTTAAAACTGCAGAGCTGAAAAGGCCCCTATGGACCATGGAGTCCATCCCCTGTCAAAGATGCCCAGCAGGGAATCAAACTTCCAAACTCTGGCTCCATAGCCAGATATCTGAATTGCTGAGATAGCCAGCAGTTGCCCCTATACAATAGTGTTATTCTCAGTGTTTATGTTTATGGGCAGATATTGCTTGGTGGTGCTGGAATGGTGGGCTGAGAGCAGCATTAGGCATTAACAACAGCCTTGAACACAGAGAGGTGACTCATGCAGTCCACTGTATTCAAGTATGTAATTAATCTCTAAATCCGCCCCGTGGCCCACTCTACACAAACACTTCATGTGGGGAAGCCATTCCTGGACTGTGCCACTTTGGCTTGCCAGTGGGCCGTTGTGTAACAGTAAGCATCCTCCTGATATATTTAGGGAGAATCTTGTGTATAAAGATAACTAATGACTTGAGTTTAATATGTCGCCCAACTCCCTTCCATCGCAGCCTGAGGTGGTGCAGTCCAGGAACAGTGGTGAATATTTGGTTCATTCCTTGTTGAGTGCATTGGTGTGCATGTGTGTAGAAATCTTGGCATGCACAGTTCTAAGGATGTCTAGATGACCGAAGTGTCTTGTTCAAATAAGATAGCTGCCGCACATCAGTTTTTGGCTTCTATCTCAAAATCATCTGTATTTCAAATGTATACACACACACACACACACACATACACACACACACTTTTATAGATTGCAGAACATGTTGCAGGTCTTCACCAAGCAAGAATAACAATAGATGATCTGAAACTATGCAAACCCAAACATCTTAGGCTCACATCTTTTGGGGGCATTTGTCTGCATCTAGAAAAGGCAATAGTTGTCAGTGACTCACTTTTTGTTAAGAGGTATGTGTATGTGATTGTTTAGTTTCCACACACTCAGATATTGATGATAACTACAATGACTAACATACTGTGTGAAGTCACTCTTAGTCATAGGGTAGTATGGAGCAAAGTTGTCACCTGATTTTAGAGGCACTTAAGACCTGCAAGGTTGGGCACCGAGAAGAACTGCTGGGCATGGAAGAAAGACACACTGATTTGTCTCCATTCTGGTTGAGGTTTGCATCGTTTCAGACCATTTCCACCTTCCTTGGGGAAGAACTGCAGCCCATTGTTGGGATAAAAAGTTTGTGCAATACAGATAATATACATAATAAATTTCCTCATGGTCTGTCTCTTTCTAGGAAATGCTGACATTCAACCCACTGAAACGTATCTCTGCTTTCAAAGCACTGCATCATCCTTACTTCCAGGACAGGAGTGCAGGTGAAGGGTAACAATGCAGATCCCTTGCATGGGGGGGAAAAGACTACATGAAAGACATTGTGTATACTTGTGTGTGTATGAGGATAAGTTGCATCCAGCCACAATCAGACCAGTTTTCAAACCTCCTGGCTGTGCTGGCATTGAGGGAGCCAGAAGTCAGAGCTGTTGCTGACATTCATGAAGAATATGAAGTGGTGCACTTTTCAGGAAATGCAAGGATGAAATCCTTCCCACCTTGGAAATGTGAGGATTCAGCTAGCATCTCTGCGCCACCATGTGCACACCCGCTGTTCCTGGGCTGATCCCCAGTGATGTTCTTGAAGGTCAGTTTGTGTTTGGGAGAGCCCCAGTTTGAGGGATCTCACTGAGTCATCTGTGGGCTCTTTGCCAAAGGTCTTTCTTCCAATTTCCTTTTTTAAAAAATACAGATTTTTTTTTTAAAAAAAGCCAATAGTTTACACACAATAATGTTGCTGCCTTATCACATTCCAGTGGCTAAAAGTTTGACACTAAAGCCTTGCCTTAACTTGTTACAGAGCTCCCATGAAAATTAGGAGCAAAGGATATTTTTATATAAATTTTCAGAATTAGTATTTTTGTTCTGAATTGCCAAGACACTGGTCAAGACAGACCGAAGTTATTCAGTATCTTCACACAGGACAGGTGCTCAAATGGAGAGCCACTGCATCTATGTGAATCCAGCTGTTCATATGAAACATTTTTCTTACCTAAATAAACAAAAAGCTTCTGAAAGTGATGAAATTTCAATAAAGACTGTGGGATGGGGCCCATAAAATGTCACATAACCTCTCCTTCTTTCTTGTTGCTTTAAAATGTCTCCTGTTTTTGATTAATCAGATAACGAATAGAAGTAATTTTCTTTTCCTTGCATTACTGGAATGTGCTGGTTTAATGGAGAAGCTGAATGGGAAATTTAGGGGAGATAAAAGAGGCTGCTGTACAGTAATAGTTATATTCTGGAATTTAGTATTGTGAGGCATAGGGGTGGCCATCAACTTAAGACAGGTTGGCCAATTTATGGTGAACAAGAGTATCAGTGGCTACTGGTCATGACTGTATGTCATTTGTAGTATTAGAGACAGGATGTGTTGCAGTAGTTGTTGCAAGCACAGGTCACAGGCACTCTGTTGCATTCATGTTTTGCTCTGAGGTTTCATGGCTGCTGGTGGAACAATGCTCGACTAGAGAGGCCTTTGATCAGGTCCAACCACAGCACTTTTTCCGTTTTTAACCTTAGTCAGGGAGATGGTTAATAAATTCAGATCCATCTACCGCTCAGGTAGCTTCAGAGCAAGGTCACCAGCCAGCAGTAGTTGAAGCAGCAAACTAAAACAAATTCAGTCTGTTGATATGAAAGGGAGTACTTGTGTCACTTCACTTGCACAAAGTTCTAATTCCTCTTCCTTTAAATGGCCAGTTCCATCACTAGCAAAGGCATCAAGTGCCTGTCGTATTTGACCAAGATTATGCCCGTCCATTTCCTTCACAAGAACCAGTGTCAGGTGGTGGGTTAGTGTGTTGGACTAAGATTCAGGAGACTTGGGTTCAGATTCCCACTTGGCAATGGAAGCTCACTCGGGAACAGCAGTAGTAAACTATTCCCTGGATGGCTCTTAATACCTTGAAAATCCTGGTAAAGTGACGTAACACTTCAGAGGCCTGGGAGGTGGTCTGCCCAAAGGTCCACAGAAATCAGAATTCCACAAGGAAACCATACAGAAGACTGATAGGGACTTTGAAGGCAGGTAAGAAGGCAATGGTCTTTCCTTGCTGTTTCTAATATCCATTACTCAGAAATGAGAGTGCATTTATTTCTCCAGTATCAACACTGAAATGTTCTGCTACGTCTCTTTAATTGCCCTAATCCCACCCTTTTAATGGCAATACAAATTGAGGTGGAAATGATTTTTTTTTCCAATTAAAGAAACTTCAGACCAGCATCTAAAGATGATTTTAGGAATAGTGCAAGATAGGAAGATATGAAGTGAAGCTAAATTTTCATGACATCACAGAAGATCAATGGCAGGGTATCAAAGATTGGCTTTACATTTTTGTACACTGTGTCACAAACTATAGGACAAGCACCATCCCAAGTTCTTTCCACATCACTAGTCACTATCAAGAGACAGAAATGAGTGAGTATCATAGGGTTTGACAGCAGTGTATTTATTCAAATGGCCTGTAACACAAGGTATCTCCAATCGGACCAGTCCCAGAGTACATGATCGTACAAGCCTGTAGATCTTGACAAAACCTGGTGATTCGAAATCCTGAGTATCACTTATACAGCTGTTATGACAACTCTACTCTTACTCTCCCCACCATCAGCACCAATTAGGGGACAGCGATAGTCCCAAGCAAATAATGCAGCATTGAAAGAAGTTCCTCCAAACAAGTAGCCAGCAAAATTCTTGGTTGTATGGTGTGGTTCTGCAGGTATCTGTTTAGCATTTTCCCTCTAAGAGGGATAGGGTGAGAGATTTGTAATAATACATGGCCATGAGTCAGTTTTTTTCCTGCTACCCTATATAAAGTGCATGTCAGCTTACTCCAGTCAGTCCCTGCCAGCAAGATGGACCTGTGGATGTATCATGACAAAATCTCTCTACACCCCCCCCCAAGAGTTCAATTGTAGGAGAGAGGTTGGTGAGGGAATGGGTCCCATATTAGCTACTGATTTGGGAAGAGAGCATTATAGCTTATCTACACTTTTAAATACTGGATATCCCTATGGCCCTAGTCTCAAGCCACTAGCAAGTGTAAGATGTGCATGCTGTCTGCTGTAGCCTCTTCATTCAGGAAGTAAGCAGACTGCAGTCTAGTAGTCCCAGCTATTTCTGCCAAAGCTGCCAGCCTATTTCTACCTGCTCCAGACAGGAGCTTATTTGCAAAAGTTTCCCCACCCCAATTTATGAATAAATAGCAGTGCCTCTCAGTACTGGAACTGTCACAAGCAACACTGTGCATAAAACTTTATAGTGTTTCTCTAAAACACCTCTGCTGCCTGATTGCCTTTTATCTCCAAGCCTTCCCCACCAGTGCTTGTTCAGAGGAAGCAAGTACATGCTCTTTTTATGTTGATAGTTAAAGGTATGGATTTCTAGAATGCTTTTCTTCACCTGGGAGATTCCTTGTTGCCCTTAAAAAATTGGCTTACAGGAAAAGGGAAGCTTCTTGGTGTAGCATTAGAACAGAAAATGTGAAAAACAGTCCCTGAACATCGTCCCTTTTCTGACACTTTAATCTTGGGGGAGGGGAGGCACTAAATGAAGGCAAGTGGTGTCATCTGTTCTGGGCCAGATTCTGGTAATGCAAAACAGTGTTTGAGCTTTCAATCTGCTATCCTAACCACCACTAGATCCCCCTTCCAGTCTCTGGTCCAGACAGAATATGGGTGCTTTCTAATGCGGCTAAAATGACACAGTGCTGGATTCTGAAATACAGTCTGTAGGACCTCAAGATCACCAATAACAAACATAAAAGCTAATTTTCCTTTCTTGGGCAAGAAACTGGCAGCTCAAGTGAGGAACAGATACTGTATAAATTCTCTTAAGTCCTCAAGGAAAAAGAAGTTCAGAAGAAAGTATCCATAGCTCAACAAAATCCTTACCTCATCTGCAGCCCCAGAGCAGTGGTGCTCCACCTTTTCCCCTCTGGCTATTTTGGGGAAACAGATCCCATAATCCTTTTGCATTAGCCCTGTGGGCTGGGGCTTCTGGAAGTTAGATGTCCAAAACAGCGAGCGGGCCAAAGGTTTGAGTACACTGGCTTTGAGCCTTAACAGAAGTAGCTTGGTGCAGCATTTCAGTGCTTGGTAAAATTGTGGTCAAAAGTTTTTCTAGTTCTTTTTGCTGGTCTAAGAGTACCATCTTTTAGCTTTGCAAAATGACAGCAGACTGGCATTGGATGCACCTTCCAGCTGGTCAGTAGTTGGGCTACTGCTTGAACAAGAGAAAACTCTACACACTATCTGTAATTCCCTCATCATCCTTACACCAAATAGATACAGGGATAGGAGTCTGAATGGGGCAAGAGATAACACTGCAGACATGCAGCACTTGTAAACCAATTCCCCAGCCAAGGTTCCATAACATTAGTAATACCTAAAAGGGACTAGGAATCAGAATCTGAATGGAGTCACAAAAAACAAGTCATGAGAGACACCATTTTAAAACCAGCTTGAAAATTTGTAAGGATGGTGCAACCTTAATTACATGATGAGTCATCTAGTCAGCTGGACAGGTTTCTACAGGCCCCTGCTTTCCCCTCTGAAAGAGGTAGCCGGTACATATGATTGTAAATCAGGCATTTGGGCATTTTTAAAAATCAAATATAGGAGCTTTAGCATACACATCTGTACTCTGCCCAAGTGGAACCCTTCCCCTAAGGCTGCTTCCTGGGTGTATGCTATATCTGCCCAAGGGAGACCACAGCAAAAACAAAGTGAGAAGGGCAGCTGTGTGTGAAGCAGTTCTACATAAAAGTGTTGTCTCTGCTTACATTGCTTACACAGTGGGGCAGAGGCCTTTGTACTGCCAGAATGCCTTGTGAAAGTGGAAGCAGCTCCAGGGCAAGCCTTTAAAAATAATAAAAAAAACCTAACAAGAATGAATACAATAACCCAAAGTACACATTTTAAAAACACCCAAGTGATTGTAGCATTGAGCAGCGATAACACAACTGAACTGGTGAGGGACCCATTGAGGGACCCATGTTGCTTGTTCGTTTAGCACGGGGTCCTCTTTGCCACCTGCCAAAGGCTTCATGTCAAGGAGGCAGGCTTTGCTCTGCTGGTTCACCCAATCAGCAGTTTGGCACCATGGCAAATTCCCACTTCCCACACACGGCCTGGATAGGTTGCTTTGTTTTTTTGAATGATGGGGATGGGAGACCTTGAACGGGGGACCAGCGGATAACTAAAGAAGGGCATAAGAGGCATGGGATGAGGGGAGGGGGTGGCTGATCTATAAAAAGGCACTGGGATTGGCTCTGGGATCTTTCTGGTTTCTGTAGCGCATGGCGAGCCACACTCCAAGGATCTGAAAGAGGAAAAAATGGGTGATACATTATTCAAAAGGTAATTGAAGGCAGCATGTTTCATACAGTTACTTTGTGGAGCTGTGACTATTACACTGGGGATGAGGACCACAGTCAAAATCTAGTTCTCATGGGAGGAGGCAGAATCCCCTTGTCTGGATGAGAAGAGATGGCACAGCAACAATTCATCAAGGCTTATGATTATGTTTTTGGCCACAGCTCTGGATTCTTCACTAAACAGCCATATAGCAGGGAGACATTCAACCAGCATAGCTTTCCTGTGTCAGTAAAGTCTATACCTGTTGAAACTCTCCTTCACAGTTAGGATGGCCAGGGAGGAGAAGTGGCCCCCCTGCCTCGGATGCACAGCCCCCCCCCCTTTTCAGCCTAACTGGCATAGTTACCTCTGTGAAACTGAAGAAGAGTCCAACTCCACCCAGGATTTTTAATACCTCGTCTGCATGTTTCATCATCACATCACCACAACTGGAGCATACAGTCTTCGCTTTCTTGCATGGCTAGAGGGAATGAAAGCACATTGTGACTTTAGCTGTCACTTGGCAGGAAGAGGAACACACACTCCAAAATACTGTCACATGCAGCCAGTGGGACTCGTTTATGAGTGAAATGCCCAAGACCAGAAGCTGCAACTGTATTAGAACTGGTGAACAATCTGTCCCTGAATACAGGAGTCCCTCTGGTGAAAAATTCTTTTGCTAGAAGACCAACTCCAGCTGGTCTGTAGGGTGAAGAGAGATTGAATTCACAAAGGTAGCCTTCACTGCTAATTCTTCTACTGCAGCTTGACCCTGGATCCAGTTCACAATGCCTGATCTCCAGGCCCACAAAAACAAGTCACTGGTTTAGCAACTCGTCTTTTCCCTTCCCCTCATAGTTTATGAGGCTCTCATTTTGATTTTTTCAAAATGTGCTGCCTTGCTGTAGTAAAACTAAAGAAACAGCTGCCCTGCAAGAAGTGAAAAAAGAAACAGGAAATAGAGGGCAGCAAGTATAGGGGAACCTTTTTGTTTGGTTGGGTTTTTTTTTATGACAGCAAGTCTGACCCGATCAATGTAAGTGCACAAGTGGCTTCTGCCTCAAAACTGAAGGGAACCCATTCACCGTGTCACCCAAAAAGCTTGATCCTGGAGAAGAATAGATTACACTTAAAATGAATGTTTTTAGTTCACTTCCTGACCTAAGAGTACTGCTTGTGTGTTCATTCCTGAGCAAGCTGGAATGACATCAACAGGACAAAACATGCTCCAGAAAATTGTTGCCTTCTTAGTATTTATTAGGCTGGCCCGTTAATGCAAGATTTAGTTGATGAACTGAGTGAGTTTGAATTTGCATGTAATCAAAACCATAACAAAAGATTTTCCAGGACACTGAAGAACCTAATCTGATTTAATGATCATTCTTGAACAGACCACCTTGAATTCCTACAACAACAGCATATCAGATGGGCTGAAAAGAAAACACAATGATTTACACCCTGCACACTCAACCCCACTGATTAAATGACAAGGGCAAACATTTTTTATCATTTAAAACTTTAGCTCAAGGGTTGCATGAAAAGTGGCTGTGTTGTGTAGATCTAGGTTAACGTATGTCTGCTGTAACTGTTTGAAACCACATTGATACAGTTCCCCTGCTAAGGATAAGATGGCCTTTCTCTGTAAACTGGAAGAGAGACCCCCCAGGGCTGAAACAAGCTCTTTAAAAAATAAGTGTAGTGGGAGTAAGGAAAGAAAAAAATAGCACAATCCATTACTGATGTCACTGTGTTGTGACCACAAATTGTGACTCAGATCTGACTTGATGAGAGTGCTTTCCTGTGCAAGGCCAGAAAGAGACCTTTTGGAAAATAAAATCCCAGCTGTGGATTCTGCTCCCAGATTAATGTGCTACAGTACGTCTGGAAACAGTTCAGAAGGGGAAAACACTGGTGAACTAGAATGGCTTTACAGAACGTGTTGTTTGTTAAAGAGGTTTCCTTCTGAACCCTAACACAAAGCAAAGGATCTCTGTTTGAAATAGTTCATGAGTCCCAGCTCCTTGAGTGTCCTTAAAACTAAAAGCAATCAGAGCCTGGATTTGGCCAAATTAATCATTGGTGTTGTACTCTAAAGCAGTCTAGTGCTGGTTTGAAAACTTCCTTCATGTGTTAAAGTTTGAAATTGCAGAATATTTTGCAATGTGGTGAATTTAAAATATTGCCACATATAGTCATGGCCAAAAAATATTGACACCCTTGCAATTCTGTCAGAAAATGCAACCCTTTGCTCAGAAAATTATTGCAGTTGCAAATGTTTTGGTACTCACATGTTCATTTCTTTGTTTTTGTTGAAACAACACAAAAGACAGAAGTCAAATCTGATACAATCCCACACATAAACCCAAAAATGCACTGGCCAAAATTATTGGCACCCTGTCTAAACTGTAATAATTGCTTTTCAAGCATGTGATGCTCCTTTAATTTGTATTTAGACACACCTGTCGCAAGTGAGAGGCGTGGGCAATATAGTAATCACACTTGCAACCAGTTAAGCTGGAGAAGAGTTGACTCAACCTTTGTGTGGTGTGTGACACTGAGCATGGAGAAAAGAATGAAGTGTAAAGAGTTGTCTGTGGATTTGAGAAAAAATTGTGAAAGAACACTGACAGTCTCAAGGCTGCAAGTCCATCTCCAGAGATCTTAATGTTCCTGTGTCCACTGTGCGCAATATCAGCAAGAGGTTTACAGCCCATGGCACTGTAGCTAACCTCCCTGGACATGGACGGAAGAGCAAAATTACTTAAAAATTACAATGAAGGGTTGTTCGAATGGTGGACACAGAACCCAGATTAACTTCCAAACAAATTCAAGCTGATCTGCAGACACAGAGTACAACAGTGTCATCTTGCACTATCCATTGCTATCTGAATGAAAAGGGACGCTATGGTAGGAGACCCAGGAGGACACCACTGCTGACACAAAGGCATAAAAAAGCAAGACTGGAGTATGCCAAAACTTATGTGACAAAACCACAATCCTTTTGGGAGAAGGTACTGTGGACAGATGAGACAAAAGTAGAGCTTTTTGGTCAGAGACATCACGGCACTGTTTACAGAAAAAGAAATGAGGCATTCAAAGAAAACACAATCCCTACAGTCAAACATGGTGGAGGGTCAAAGATGTTTTGGGGTTGCTTTGCTGCTTCTGGCATTGGATGTGTTGACTACACAGTATCATGAAATCTGATGATAACCAAATAATTTTGGGGTGCAACATAGTGGCCAGTGTCAGAAAGCTGTGTCTCCACCAGAGGTCATGGGTCTTCCACCAGGACACTGACCCGAAACACATTTCAAAAAGCATTCAGAAATGGTTACAAAGCGCTGGAGAGTTCTGAAATGGCCAGCAATGAGTCCAGATCTGAATCCCATAGAACAGTGGTCCTCAACCTTGGGCCTCCAGATGTTATTGAACTACAACTCCCAGAAGCCTTCACCACCTCTGCTGGCCTTGATTTCTGGGAACTGAAGTCCAAGAACATCTGGACGCCCAAGGTTGGAGACCACTGCCATAGAACACCTGTGAAGAGATCTCAAAACAGCAGTTGAGAGAAGGCATCCTTCATATCTGAAGGCCCTGGAGCAGTTTGCAAAAGAAGAGTGGTCCAAAATTCCAGTAGAGAGGTGTAAGAAACTCATTCATGGTTACAGGACGAGATTGATTTGTTATTTTTTTCCAAAGGGAGTGTTACCAAATATTAAGTTAAGGGTGCCAATAATTTTGGCCAGTACTTTTTGGGGTTTCTGTGTGGGATTGTATCAGATTTGACTTCTCTGGTTTTTTGTGTGTGTGTTTTTCCAACACAAAACTAAGAAATGAACATGTGAGTACCAAAACATTTGCAACTGCAACAATTTTCTGAGAAAAGGGTTGCATTTTCTGACAGAATTCCAAGGGTGACAATATTTTTGGCCATGACTGTATGTAATAGTCAGGAATGTGGAGTGCACGGCTCTCCAGACGATGATGGGCTATAGCATCGAAGAAGAGCTCTGTCTAGAGTTGATGAGATTCCAATCCAGTATTATCCAAAGAGCCACATATTCTCCTTCCCAGATTTGTGTCAAAGTTTAAAGCAAAGATTGGGACTCACGGCTCACATGTCGCTGTAGAGTCTGACTTGAGTCACACTGGCAACTTGACTTAGACTCAACTCAGATTTTGAGAGGACTTGGGACTTGACTCGCTACTCAGATCCATTTGTCCAAATTAGATTTTCTAGGTTCTATTGTAGGCTGATGATGGTGGGGTCAGGAGGCCAGAGCCTTTGGGTTCCAGTCCTGAGTCCCAACTCAAGTCAAGACTCAGACCCAGAGGCTCAAAATCAGACTTGGATCTCTGTGCATGCTCTCTTCCCTGCAATAATGTCATTCTCCAAATATATTACTGGTCCTAAATGGTTGTTTAGGTATCTGGCTGCAGAACCAGAGGTTGGGAGTTCGATTCTCAACTGAGACTCCTATGAATGTGGCCTTGGGCAAGCTGCAGAGTCCCAGGGCTTCCCTAGAAGAAAGGAATAGTAAACCACTTCTGTGTACCATCTACCTAGGAAACCCTAGAGAGGACTATCATAAGTCAGAATTGACTCGACAACACATGATTACCATTGCAAATACTGCACCTTACGGCTTAAGGGCTATTTTTCACAGTGAAGGGATGGAGTCCCCCCTGGCCGTCCAGCAGTCAAAGTGTAATTCCCATCAGCCATAGCTAGCACAGCCAATAGTAAAGGATGATAGGAGTTGCAATGTGGCAACAAGGAAGACCACACGCTCTTCCCTTCCTGTTCTAGGTTTTGAATATTTCTCTAGACTGAGGTTGTGTATCCAGCTTTGGCCTACAATTTCTGCCGGTCTTTGACAGCAGAGCAATGATGAGGGATTATGGGACCTGACTCTGACAATAGGTAGAAGGCCACAGTTGCTCTAAATAAAGAACACGCCATTTTTTACAGTGGTAGGTGAAGATTCAATGTCACTTTTAGAAGAAATTATAGGCAAGGCATAGTAGAATTCTACAGGGGAAACCTAAAGGAGACAAACTCAGAAAGATCAAGATGATGTCAGATGGTGAAAAACTGGGACAGTGCTTCATGTAAAAATAAGAGGACAGAAAAAAGAAGGACTTCAAAGGAAAAGCAGCTCCTCACTGAAGAGAGAGAGAGAGAAAAAGAACAAGGCATGAAAGCAACATAATACAAGGAGACCAAACACAAAAAAAGATGAGCCAAGGTGTTTTAGAAAAAAAAGAAAAAATTGCAGACCAAACATAGTGAGCAAAATGTTGAGGCTCAAATTGTAACTTTTTGTTGAGCCAAGGTGTTTTAGAAAAAAAAGAAGAGAGTGCAAACCAAACATAGTGACCAAAATGTTGATGCTCAGTGTAGGCCAAATTGTAACTTTTTGTCCATTCCTCCTCAGTGAACAAAGCATCCCTGCTGTACTCTAAGCAACAGGAGGT